CTCCCTTGTTTCTACCACTTTATCCTGCTTCTTTGTGTGGACTGTGATGGTCTGTTGTCTCTGAGGCATCATGGCATTGTTGTATTTAGATCTCTGTTAACTGTTGGTGAAAAGCAGTCAAGGGTGATTCAGGCTCTTGTTGGTGGTTTTTTATCATTGGCCCATTGGTGGAGAAGGAGGTAGTGGCTCTCTCTCAGTAAGTGAAGTTGCAGAAGGTATGGGTGTAGTTGTGTCTTATGGGGACTGTTGCTGTCTTCCACTCGGTTAGACAAAAATTACAATTGAATAACCATCAAGATACTAAAAGCACATGGACAAAAAAACATACCATGTAATCACACAGGAGCAGTCACCAAAAGAAGAAAAAAGGGAAAAAGAAGAAGAAATACAAGAAAACCTGCAATATCTGGAATAGGGCACTAAGAGAAAAAAGGTAGAGAAGGAGAGTAATGAAGGAAAAAAAAAAAATGGGAAAAATGGAAAAAGGAAAAGAAGGAATGGGATTAACCACAAGAAAAAAAAAGGGGGGGGGGACTTAAATTAAAAAAAAAAAAAAAATTTCAACCAGGAACAGGGAAAAGAAAAAATGCTGAAAACTAGGACCTGGGAGGGGAAGATTAAGAATAATAGTAAAAAGGACAAAAGTATTAATAATAATAGTTGTTTTAAAACAGACAAATACAAGCAAACTAATCACAAGAAAAAAAGAAAGAAAAAAATAAGAAAGAGACAACAAAATCAGTGGTGGTCAGGACAGATCACCCAGGCTCCCTCTGAGCACACAGACTGTGATGGAGTTCCTGTAGGCCCAGAAGGTAGGTGGGAGTGGGGGTGGCCGCACCTCCACTCACCAAGCGGGTATGGGGTATAAAAGTAACAAGAGGAATGTCACACCTTTTCCGTCTTGCAGGTCCAGAGGTTTCTTGGGGTTGCTGGAAAGCAGAATTTGTTCTTAAGCCCCAGGAATCTACGAGCATGCTGTCTCTTTAAATATCCAAAATAGTCAAGCTGCTTTTAAATATTCATAATGGCAGTGCCCTCTGGACTGGCAAAAGTCCACAGCTCAGCCCGCCTTTCTCTTCACCTTCTCCATTTATTCCCCAGCCACCAGAGCAGTCCTCTGTGCAGTCCCTAGCTAGCAGGGCTGATTTTTAGGTTAATTGTTAGCTCCTACCACCACTCAAGGATCTCCAAGCTGTCTGTGCCATGCCATCAGGATTGCTGCCAGACCACAGCTCCATCTGTCTCCTTTATTGATATTTTCATGCAAATTCTTCTGCTAGTTAGGGTTTAGTCCACTTCTATATCCTCTCCTTCAAGGCTTGGGGGTCCAGGATTATCTTCTGTGTCTGTGCTAGTTGGTTTCCATTTTCTTTGTTGAAAAGGGTCTGTGGAGTCTTTCTGCCTAGTCCGGCATCTTACTGGAACTCAAATTCCCTTAATTTCTGCTTATCTGGAAATGTCCTAGTTTCACCATCATATTTGAGGGACAATTTTGCTGGGTACATAATTCTTGGTTGGAGATTTTTCTCTTTCAAAGTTTTATATATACCATCCCATTGTCTTCTTGCCTGCATGGTTTCTGTCAAGAAATCCGAGCTTAGTTTTATTGGTTGCCCCTTGTAGGTAATTTTCATTTTTCCCATGCTGCTTTCATGGTTCTTTCTTTGTCTTCAGTTTTGGTAAGTTTGATGATGATATGTCTTGGTGCTTTTCTTTTGGGGTCTATCTTGTTTGGGGTTTGTTGGACTTCCTGAATGGATATATTCTCATCTTTCATCATACCAGGAAAAATTCTCCTCCAACAAATCTTCGACAATTTTCTCTGTGGTTTTATTTGTCTCTTCCTGTTCTGGAATTCCAATTACACGTAGGTTATTCCTTTTAATGGTATCCCACATGAACCTTAGGCTTTCTTCATTTTGTTGTGATCTTTTTTCTGATTTATCTCTTTCCAAAGAAATGTTCAGGTATTTGCCTTCAGTCTCCCTAATTCTGTCTTCCATTGATTCAGTTCTGCTCT